AAGCATATATGCGTATATGTGCATACATGTGAATGAGCATTTGTATCATAGGCGAGAGCTCTGGCATATCGATTATTAGGGCATGGTGGATCGAGAGCACGATCTTCACGCAAAGCGCACTGCACTGTGGGATAAGGTGGGAAATAGTAGAGGGAAGTTTCTGATCAAAATTCAGCGTGCGTTTCACAACCCACGTTGGGAAGTATTAAACTTGGGTGGAGAACTACCTTGCGTGCTAATGTAGTCTGCATCAAGCCCCAAAGCAAGCAAAACTTACACAATGTATCGTAAATAGTTCATGATATGAATAATAGAAAGCTTAAGTGCAAGCCGCAAGGGCTGCACATCCGACCAAATAGGCATAGATGCTTCGAATAGCAATCCCATGTGATTACCGCCATTCTGATAGGGATATGAAAGAATATACAGAATTTCTCAAACAATATATGATCTACTCTGTATGCATGATTAGTCTGAATTCTGCAAATGTGGAAACCTCAAAAGGAAAATTGATGTGTGAGCTCAGCATCATGGATGCATTTTGGTACCGCTTATTGGGGCAATAGGCGACAGTCGTGAATTTCGTTAGTTGACGTTACTTCTAATGTCGAAAGTGTGCGGCATCGGTGGCATGTGAACAAACCTGTTGTGTCTCCTTAAATTTGCTTATTAGTTTGATTCTGGAGACGACGCCCGCCTCAAGAACGCTGCCTCTGCTTTCATTCAGGAAATGCACTTCATCCACAAGTACCAACGCAATCTGGAAAATACACATTCATGTCATGTACACACTCATGTCCTGTAAATACAATCACACCAAGCGTAGGGTTGCCAAGACATGAAATACATACATCATCACACCATTTTGGCTAGTTTTAAGCACGCCCTTACGCCACCAATATTTGCACATGCAAATAGTGCGGCCACTTTCAGCAAACTGACATTTCAAAGGGGAGCCGCACCTCCAATATTGCTTGGATTGCAGCAGTATACACTCTTTCAGTTCCAATTTACGCAAGTTGAAATCCGCCACTGCCTTTTCTTCTATTATTTATAATGTGCTGAAGCGAACACGAAAATGGCACTTACCAGAGAACACTTGTCCATCCATCCAATGATACCATGACTATTCACAACATCCATGAACCAACATACATTTGAAATCATTGAAACGACAGCCTTAAAGCACTGAGAACTTTTCCGAATTTCTTCTTTTTCATAATTGTTGCCGAACATATGCGTCAGATAATAGCCAACCATACATATGGTCACAGAAGCGGCCAATCCACGGTGGGCTACCCCACCTCGCCAAAGAATCTCATTCCTCCACGATCTTGGTGTTTTCGGCTGATGGAGTCTGGAAGAACACCAAAATGAAGTTGGCGGCGATCAAACGTATCCACGAACAACTCAAATTTTCAAAAAACTTCCAGTGGGGCGCGATTAATCCCTGTTTCGACTGCACTCTCACCGAATTTCTCTGGCGTCGTGCAAATGACATCGGCGGAATCCAGGTCACTGCACATCATCTCCTTATTATCCCCTGTGTATTCCCTCACAGAGAGCCTGAGCGCCGAGCCCATCCGGGCGCCCCAGTCCCTCACTCTCTCTTGCACGAGGGACCGCGTGGGACCAACGTATACTGTCTTTAGGTGACCGTTCCTCAGTGTGAAATTGCCGCTTCGAGAGTCGATGAATCGACGCATCAATCTGAGTAACGCCAGCTCCATGACTACAGTCTTTCCAGAGCCCGTAGGGGCCGCGACGACCTGTTGCTTCAGTAGTGGTTACATGCCCACCGGCGAAATGGCGGAAGGAGGAAGAACAATGAGCGCATAATTTGCCACCACATAATTACAAGTGTTGGACACCAAAATGAGCAACAAACATTAGCATGATTGGCTAAGCATCACCGCTTAGTGAGGATCTACATCTGGTCGAAATGCGAAGTTCGTTTGAAAGCGTTGCCAGCAACTTAGAATGTCGATCGTCCATTCAATCATTTGCCATCATCTGGACACGGATCGCACATCCTGGCCCGAAAATGAGGACCCAATCTGAACGTAACACCCGCTGGGGCTGAACTGGCCATCGATACCATCAATTGCTTTCCTGGATGCGGGATTTATGAGTCTAAGCAAGGAAACGAATGCAGCCCTCATGCGGATTTTGCACTCATCCACAATCTGAATTTTGCACCAATCTGCACACGAGGACAAAAATTTCCAAACGGATACTTCTCCATTGCTATACTTCGAGACAGGTACCATCGTTCATAATTGTATGCAGTAGGTGTCGCACTGCATCCAACATAGCCTACCATCCCGAGTGACGTCATTGTAGAAAGCATAAGGATTCCTCGGGGATCCCTTTGTTCCAACATCATGCGACCATGTTTCAACGTGCTCACCATATTTACGTCGCTTTCAAAGGCAGCATGGAAGCACTCCGACTGGATAGGGTTGAAGTACCTATTCGCAGCACGAGATTTACCGGCTTAGAATGACCCAGGTTCATCGCGATCCGAACGAATGGCGCTGCTGCCGAATGCCCGAACACAGCAAATCATTGCATCCGTTTCTGTAGGTTGCGACGATCGATGTGTTGCCTCTCACGAGGTCTGTTCAACAGTGCGTGTTCAATAGAACTGAGCAGACACCACAAGCGATATGGAAGCGTATGTGCAAGAGGGCGCGGCCGATTCACGATAATTATCGCGATGGCAAATACCAGAGGGCTTACAGGATCCAGCGCGCTCACCTGAACGCCGGAAAGGCTGCCCGAAAGCAAGGAGGGAGCTCATCCACAGACCTCACCCTGTCGCAGTCCTCACTCCAGGCACCGCCGAAATTCCCCACGCCGCCAGCGCAAGACCGCCGGGGGCCGCTCTCCGCGCCCGCCATGACGCCCGCCTCCAACGACGATCAGGCCGCCCTGTCGGCTCACAGAAGAACGCTGCCTCAATATCCCTTTCCCTCTCTGGTCTTGGCAAGTGCACAGTGCGTCTCCGTGACAGCCGCGCGCGGCGCCAGGCGGGCGCGGCTCGCCCTGATTGGCAAACGCCTTCTCTCCAAGCAGAAATTGCCTCGAAATCCGCGGTGGCGCAAAGGCGTCGAGGCTTTGAACATCAGCAGAACGACGGCATGCAATTGATCAGAGTACCCCCATCGCGGGGAGAAATAAACGCAAAGGATTCGCCCGCGCGTCACACCCCGATCGCAGCGGCGCGGTGGCGCGAGGGGCCCTTGCAAAGAAGGATCGAGGCTCCAGTGGATTCTCTCTGTGGAGTGCGAACACACGGCAGCGGCTGTGGAATGTGCGCACACACGGCAGTCCCCAGTAGTATGGCGCCTTCGATTCAGTGGCGGGGCGGGAGCCAAATGCCGTGAATGGTTGAGGGGGCCGAGATGGATGTCCAGGTCCGATCGGTCTCGAGAGGGTCGGCCTGCTGGCCAGATTTGAAAGCCACACGCTCGCTCCTCTCAAACATGCGAGGCGCCGGCGTCTGCTTGCGCGCGTGTCTGTCCCTGGAGTGAGTACCACCTGAAATGGTTTGGAACAGTTGCAGCTGCACAGCCACTGTTTGCTCGAATTGAAGCGGCGACGCTTGCCAGCACCATGAAGTGGGTAGCGTCATGATTTGAGTTTGAAAACCCGCTGACGCCGCCAGTCTTTGCCTGGATGTGGCGCTTATTCCGGAATTCAAAATTTGCCGCTGAAGTGCCATGTGGGACTCAAGCAATCGCAAAGAATCGGAGCATTACAGTTGGATGGGCTTCTATGGTATTGAGAATTCGAGCGGTCAGGGAACACACCGTATCGATGTTGGTATGCTTAGCTTCAAACTGACGCCAAGCTCGGAAAGAACAAACCTTCGGTGTATGGCCCATTTCCCCTTCCAATGATCATTGGAAAACCCTTTCCCCCTTCCTCCCGCTCCCCTTCCCCCATTTTCCAGTGTCCCCGGGGGCATGTGACCCGCCAGTCGTGTTGGTCGCGATGGGAGACGCCATATCATCTTCACAGTATGGACAAGGGTCTCGCAAAAGCTTGATCACGCATGCGCATCTGCGTGGATGCATCATGATGAGGATAGGAATATCGCCATGACAGCGAGGAAACGTTGTTCTTGGGACTGCATGACGCAAGTGAGCCCATGTCGGCATCCCTGGGTGCCGAAGGCCACTGTGCGCGTGCCTGAACCGCACCTCCATCGATCAAGACAAAAGATATCACCGCCAATGTTACCTTTTCGGTTGTGCTTCGCAACGTTGAATGTGGAGGCGCCTTGTTGCATGTTCAAGGATTGGTCGACTCCTAAAATTTCCGGGCATGGAGGTCATAAGGTCATAAAATGTCATGAAGGGCGCTAGCAACCGATAAACCTGAAGAAAGAACTGAACACCCTAAAACAAGAAATGACCATCATGGCCCTCGTGACCTTCATGACTTCATTTTCCGACGTAGAGAGCATTGAACATTCGTTGCATGTTCCATGCTTACTTACTTAATCGCCTGTGCTCCAGGGATGCGACTCAGCGTTCTCTGTCTGCAACGGATTCAACGTACTGATGTACTATCACAAATTCAAAACAATTTCAGGTGCATGGGTGCAGGACATAATAATCCTGGGAGCAGCCTGAGACTCTCCGCTCAGTGCATGAATGGCAGCATGCATGTGGTGCTTGCGTGTGTTGCCGATATCATGCGTGGTTCACTTTGACACAACGATTCGTAATCCTGGCAGTCCTGCCAACAGCATTTGCAAGGAAAAGAGCATCCTGCGTCCAAACCCCACCGCCTGTTGCCCCGGTGGAACCCCTGTGGAAGCCTCACAGCATAATCAGCAAATCCAAAAGACTTGCGAGCGATCGGAACAAAGAAATACGGCTGGCCATCAAAAACTATTTCTGCTGTACTGTACAATGATGGAATCAAGAAAGAATGAATACCACCTGCCCTGCAACCAACTGCCCCCCCATTGAGATCAATAAGGAATTTCAACTATCGCCAGAAGCCCTTTGCAAAGCCTCAATCATGGATTCCAAGGCTGCCAGGTACCTGGGCACAAAGTGGTCCATCACCATGGACCTGCACATCCTCATTTTGCCATACGGCTCTTGAGGAACGTCAAGGAACAACACGTGCTCCCCGCACCCTCCCTCCTGCGTTTCCTGCAGCGGCGCCTTTCCTGCCTCCCCATGATCGCCTCCATCGCACTCTTCTGCAACACTGCCCTCGTCGTCCTTGCTGTCCTTGTCTAATCCTGTCATGTGCGTTGATACTGGCAGCTCGCACTGATCTTCTTCGCTGCCTCCCAAGTCCCCTCGTTGACTGGAAGGTGCATTTGCTCCATTGGCCTTTGCTTCCATTGTTTTCACATTCCCACTGTCGATGCTTCCATCCATCAGGCACGCTTCCATTTCCCTCAGGACATTACTGTCCAGCAGTTCACGGTCTGCATCACGCTCACTATCGGCATCCAGAATGTAAGCTGGGACCAGATGCAGTATCCGGCCAGCGGGATACAGCAGCCGCCTCCATTGCATGTCAGCGATGGATCCAGACGAAGCCGAACAGTTCTGGTCTTCCATTCCTTGTGCCTTCCGCCCATCAAACACCCCTTCCTCCTCTGCTGGCTCCATCTCATCACCAGTTTCAAGATTCTCGATGTCCGCAACTGAGGCATCTGTACACATTGATTGCTCCCCTGCATTGAGAAGAGGAACCTCCTTTTCTCCAGTGCTTTGTGCATCTGTGCTCCCTGGTGGCCTTTTGTTGACCATGCTCGTCCACAGGTTGCTGGAATATTTGGCCATCATCCCACCAGTCCTCTGCAGCTGGCCTCCAAATTGAAAGACACCACTGCTGATACGTTCGTATGTTGTGCCGCCCTTTGTCTCCTGCTTGGCAGTGGCGCTCTCTGCTAAGCCATCTTTGTCCGTGTTAGAAGGCCCTGCAGCGTCTTGAGAGCACTCGTTGCCACACTCAGCAGAAGCTGCCAACCTGGGCTGTGCAGGCTGTGTCTGCACCTCAGTGCTTGATGTCAAGCTGGCGGCCTCCTTGGTAGCTGCAGCTTCATGCGTCGACTCGGTGCCCCGTGGATCTCCAGCAGTCATAGAGCTACTGCTGCTGCCAGGCAGGTCTTCCCCAGATTTGGGTTCGCATGCTAAAGCTTGGGCCCCTTGCTTCTGTTCACGTGCCTGGGCTGCGCCTCGCCTTGGCGCAGTGCACCGAGCAGCATAACATGCACGGATCCCCCAGGAGGCTGACTCCAAAGAGCGACTGGTCCATGTGCTCGCTGATCGGACGACGCTGTTGAGCAGGACACAATTGCGGCATCAGCAATCCTGTCAACAGAACGCACGCATCCATAACAGCAACATGACATGCTGGTCGTGGTGCATGCCCTACAGAGTTCAGATCATCGTGCAGGATCAGTTTTGCCAGCGGTCTACAGCGACCTTGCAGTGCAACTGGCAGAGCAACACCTTGTCCCACACTACATGAAATTCTGTCAGCAGAAGAGAATGGACTCAGCAATGGCAAATGCATGTTCAGTACGCATTGCATAAGCGATGGCAAGAGAGCAGGGTCACAAATCTAAAATCGCCTCAACAGTTGATTGGCAAGTACTCTGCCACGTTCTGACAAAAAGTTGACTTCTGCATTTGTGCAGAGGTTCATTCTCACCCTTTGATGCTCCCTTCCACTGCCTTCACCACCGAATAAGATCGCATGTCCTGACGCATTGCGCTGCCCCAAGATGACTCGGCTACTTCTTCCTTAAGCTGATCAAGAGACCCTGACAGCAGGTACAGAAGGCACATGATTTTCTGCAACCCAAGTCCACACACAGCGACAGCGGTAGCCTTACACTGTGGTCTACATTTGGACAGGCGATACATCTTTTAAATTATGTCAGTAGAGATACAAGCACTGCTCTAAGGCATGTCTGTGGTTGGTTGTGGCCATTGCACTCTTGACAGCTGGATCGTTGTTGTAGACACCTCGTATTCTCAGAGGCTTGATCGATGGTCCCCACATTGCAAACTTGCGATGCCTGTGTCTGGATCCTAACATGCTGGCCATGGGTACACAGCCAACAGACTGCAACTGGGCTTTGCACCAGCTTTGGTTGGATTTCGATGCAGCAGTATCCTGACATTACAAAGCCAACTGACCAAGGGGCCTCTCCACTGACCTGCGCTCAGTGTTGGCACGAAATCGGTTCCATAGATGTAACTGGTCACATACGACTTGCACGACTGCGCAAGATCCAGAGTCAAGCAGCTGGGGCAGGCAAATGCCGTGCACTGCACATCGCCAAATTCTGGGTGATGTTCACGTATCCTACAACACCGCACCCCTTAGATAGGTCAGTGGTTCAGAACACTTGCTTGTTTTGACACGAAAGCAGCACACAGTGGTGTGCAGGTGCCTGGATCTGCTGTCGTTGAGCAAACAATACGTTGCAGCACCCCAATGCAAAAGCCATTCACTCCCACCCTGGTTCTGCAGAAGCATGTTGACATCTCAAAGTGACAGGGGAGTGCTTTTCCATTTCTGTCACATGGGGTCAATGAAGACTTACACCGTGCCAAGGCCTTTGTGTCGTTTTCGGAGCCAACACCCAGGACAATGAGGGACAGCCATTGAGTACTGCTCTCTTTGTGATAACTTGAGCCATGTCCACATCAAGGCTTACATCATGGTCAGCATTGCTGCTGTTCCGCCTCCCATAGAATGCCCTGTGATTCTGAGGCCACAGGATGGATGCTCCTGCATTGCATTCTTGATGGCAGGACTTGCTTCCTTCAGTATCCACCTGGCAGATGCCAGCATGCCAAAATGCGAATAGCCCAACACCACACCATCTTGATCAACAACGTGATGTGGTTTTGTTACCCCTGGGAGCCAAATGCCAAGACAAGTAAGTCTGCCATAGTACAGATAACATCAATGGCCCCTCTCTTCAGTTGACTACAATACAGCAAAGTGGGCATATCCCAAGCTGCAGCAAAGGTCAGTGCTACATCGTCACATTGCAACACGTGCAGGATGGGCAGCTGACATTAGGGCATGGTTCCACCAAACGCACCGCCTATGAAGCTCAGTGCACGAAGTGGCGACTCAAGTGCTGTTCAACATACAACACGGCATACATTGGACCAACAGCACCCAACTGAAAGTACTCCAGCCCCTTTCGTTGCCTGAAAAATGGGTTAGAAGTCTCTAACAGCACTAGAAAGTACACAGTGCATTACTTGCACGCCCATGTGGCCAGGGTTTGGGATGTTCTTTGTTGCTAAGCATTACAAGGTTCTTGCCGATCACCAAAAGTTGAACAAACGCTACCAGATGCCCTGACTTTAGGAGAGACAAGTGCAAGGCCCAGCGAGCCGTTTGCAACTTGTTCTGAAGGCTGCATTCATTTTGACCTTGGCCAACAACTGTTCTGACCACAGACGAAAAAGTACCCAGCAGGTAAGGGCAGGGCACAATGCTAATTGCAACCTCACATTCCTGCAGGCCAATGTCTGAGAAGTTTCTTCATCCTGCCTGATGTCGTTGCAGTGCCATAGGACAGACAGAAGCTTGCAAAAGGGACTGTACCTGACAAAGATGTGAAGATGTCCTTGACCGAACTGGTGCCCCTTATGGCCAGCACCAACAGGTGAAGCTCATGGTCCCACACCAGCACAAATGCTGGTCGGAGCACAGCAGCTCTTGGGCGATAAATTATGAAATCATGAGCGCCTGAAACACATTATCGCCAATCAAGGCCAATGGAGCATATCAAGCACTGCTTGCACCCAACAATTGGTTCACACCACCACAGACTGATGCGCACTGGCTTTGAATGCAGAGATACCTCTGCACCAAAAAGCTACATCACCATCGCTTGTCAGCACCACATCATTCAGAACAGGCAGCCTATCAACAACCTGTTTGGCCACATTCTCCAATTTGTGGCCAACTTTCATCCACTGTTCAGCCTGCCTTCCACAAGAAGGTTGCACACGATAGTGCAGAACAACAGAATGACAGACAAATTCTCCAACGGTCTAACAATAACCATCACTCTGGTGCTAACAGCCTTTAAATTGTTTGACAGCTGCACACTCCAGTGTGCATTTGTTTGTTGTGGGCACACTGCAGCATCAAAATACCGTACTGGTCCTTTGTAATGGGACACCATTGTTCCAACTTGTAATGCAACCCATTCTGGCATTCGCAGCCTGTTTCTAACAACTGCAGGTTTGAGTTTCATTGGCAGACCATTTCTTCGGATGGTTGCAGCCACTTTTCATACCACCTCCAAACACATGGCATCGTAGCAAGCCTCCAATTACTCACCAACTACTCACAATGACTCAATTCTTCCTAGTAGCTAGTCCACCCCAGCAACCCCAGTACATGTGGTGTTGAAAACTGGCTGAAAACAACCAAAAAATGTTCCTTCTTTCTGCTGTGTAACAGGAGGTACATGCCAACAAAACTGGTTGCAAATACAAGCTGGAACACGTGGCAAAAATGCTGAAAACAGGTTGAAAACACAGCATATGTAGATAGCATGGATGCTGACCAAACAGTGGAAAGCAAACAACAATTCTGTGTCAGTGAGGTTTGGGGCTACCCCCCTCAGCCACCACTGTGCACATATATGAACTGCAGCTCCGATGCACGGTGCTGTGAACAAACAGCAACGAAGCACTCTCTCTTCATGCAAAACCAATGGTTGCTTCTGCACATGCTCTTTGCTTCGACTTACCTGGCTGCCATTGGCTCCTGAAGTGATGTGAAGTAGAAAAGAGCAGAGCATGTTCTGTATGGGAGGTGCTGTTCCAATGAAGGACATGTTTTCCAGTTATGGAATACTGCAACTTTGGGGCTAGCCTTTCAAGCTGTGGGAGTGCTTGGAGATCTGCTCGGGCGGAATGAGACATGGCACACCGTAGACTTGATATTCCAGGTGACACTGATAAAACTAACAGCAATGCACATAGCAGATGCTGATTTGGGTTCAACTGTCTCACACAAAAAGAGCAGTGGATGGCATCCTCACCGATTCCCATATTCGCCCACACCTCCTCTGACACCGTCAAGGAAGCATGCTTCAGATTCTGACCATACTGCAAAAGACGGTGGGCCTCACACAATTGGTCCTACAGAATCACACAAAGCATCAGCTACATACTAACACAGGAATGACAACCCCATTAAACTGGACAACTCTTTCTCAAGTTTGGGTATAATGGCAGTGAACCAGTAAATTCTTTCACGTGCACCATCGAGCATCAACAAATAGTTAGCAGCACTGTGGATGAATAATCATATCCCTGCAGAACTGCTGAGGCACACCAAGCCAACTGTAGAGAAGCGTCTTGGCACTATTTCTGACCCTACTCCCCCCTCTAGCACATATTGTATTCAAGCATATGTTGGACACTGTTCTGAAGGCACCATGCACTTGCAAAGCACCGGCTATCTGGCACATCATAATTTAAATTTCTCTGCAATGGTCATCATTCGATCCCTCAGCAGGCCAACACGATGACTTGGAAGTTTTTTGAGGGGCATTCATGTTATTACACCCACATAAATCCTTCACAGGTATGGCTGATACCTTGTGAAGGTAGTGAGAAGTAAGACAGCAGCAATGCCCTGTGGCTTTTCAGTCAAACACATCCCAACGTTTCTTGCACCGCCAGAGGGTTGGGGTGTTCTTTCAAAAAGCAGCGTGTGGTCTTTGCAGATTGCCAACAGAATAGGCACGTGCCACGAACAGTGCATTGCGTTTCACATTGCATCGAAGGGAAAGTCATTCATCCATACACTTCTAGAAAAAGCAATGCCATTCTTGAAACTGTGCGCAGATTGCATGGCAAGGTTGCATGAGTTGACAATAACACACTTGGACACAGGCGACAGAATGCTGATGCAACACTGGGCAACTACGGTGGCTGCATTCAACTCCTGGACAAATTGGACCTCTGGTCTCATCTAACCTTAAGGTTCTGCAGTGCTGTGACCGGCAGCTCAGCGGGGTCCACCCTTTCTCCGTTTGCCACCACCTCCCTTGCTGGGAAGTCCCTTATGCCCTGACGGAAAAGGTAGAATATCCCAATGAACAGGTCCGCCGTTGGCCAGCGGCCAACTATCTCCACCCAGATATATCTGAAGGAATATGAAGAGCACACAAAGCTTCAGCGCAGATCTTTTTCAAGAGCTGCATGCAGGGCCATTGATGTCCGACTGCAGATTTTCCAATCTCACTTATTGTGATGCAATTGAGTTTCCAGAACAGATTCAAAACCTGGACTGTTCAGAGGGGAGCCCAGAGGCGCTGAGTCTGCATCCACCAGCCAGCACAGCCCCCAGGAGTGTCCCAAACGTCAACCACGACAGCAGCGGCCGTGGTCATGCCAGGGGCCAATCGGTGCACACTGCCCTCGTCACTTCTAGCCCTCCACGCGCTTTCAGCAACGCTCAGCATGGCAGCTGTGGTAGAACCGCGTCCATGCTTCATATACGCAAACGAGCCACGGCAACCACCGCCCATGTAAAAGCAGCCCCACACACCAAAGCCAGCGGTTGTGTCCACCACTGGAGGAGGCTCCTTGATCCCTCGGCGGCGCAGCGTTCGCCAGTTCAGCAACAACGGACAAGGCAGGGCACTTCCACCAACCGTCTCTCCCACGAGGTAGCATTTTGGCACCGGCTCGGCCAGCCGGCAAGCAGCCAGCCCAGATTCGACCCGCCTCCGCACCCGGCCACATCTCCACATCCCGCGATTCCATACAAGTGCCCAGCCGCCGTGCGCGATCTAGCATCAGTCCTCCAGCGTCCAGACGCCTCGAGTCTCATCCCCCACCCCACCCCTTCCTTGACACTGGGCGTGCTATGTTGACACTCGATGATATCTCCTTTGTAATCGCCTTATTTCGTCTCGGGGCTCCGTTAGAATCTCCCTAAAGGTGGAGAAAATCTGGGAGTATGCCACGTGACTCTGTCTTGTAACAATCTCCCTCCCTGCCAACTGCAACGCAAAATCAACCTGCCCCGTCCCCCAGTCCTTCAGCCGTTCGATCCGTCCGATGCCCGACCTGACTCCCTCGGCGAAGAGGTACAGCTCGCCGGTCCAGTTGCTGGGCGCGTGCTCCACGTCCGTGTGCGTCTCCACCCGGCGGTAGATGCCCCCGCCCTGCCTCCTCCTGTAGGCGTAGTAAGCCAGCGCGGCGGCCCCGGCGGCAACGATCCCCGCCGCCATGGCCGCCCGGCGGCCCTCCTCGGCAAAAGGCCTCTCAGCGGCTCGGTCGCTTCCCCTCGCCGGTGGGCTGTTCGGGCTCTATGGGCGACAGGGACGAAGGCAGCGGCAAAGGCGAGGAGTGATGTGGGTTGTTGGCTACCGGGGTAGTTGTACGCGGGCGCCTGTTGGGCCTCTGACCGGCAGCTGCGGCGCCAGCGGGAGCCATCGTGCTGACGAGTCATGGGAATGGTCCTGCTGGGGGCCATTGCTTGGCACTTGCGTTGGGTGGAGTGGGGCTTAATCAAGGATCCTCATGAGGGAGTGGACTGCGCTCTCCCTCGCCCCTGGCTGGGCGGTTTGGCAGAGCGGTGGGACGTCCCCAAAGAGGCGCCCGGGTCGATTCCCGGCTCCGACGTCCATTTTCCCATCCGCACTTCAACAGCGCTGGCCAAGGTACTGGCAGGGGGTGAAAGTCGTCACGTCTTGACGGCCGCTTTGGACCGGGTCAGAGATGTCGCACAATGCAGTGGGATGCCGATTGCGGCTTTGGCGTGCGGTTCCATGCGAATCACCGGCCTGCATCCCGTTCTGCGTCCAGGGGCGTCACGCCCGGGGCAGTCACCGTCCACTGCGGACACCCCAGCGCTGCCACGGCGGCCGGCACAGGAAACAGAGGGCTTAGCTACTCGAAAATACCCCAACAGACGCGATGCCAGGGGCCCAACAGGCTTGCAGTACGGTCGGGACGGGGAGAGGGCGCAAACCCAGAAAGGAAGGCAATGGCGGGCGATGGGCCGCGGGTCCAAGGAGGGCCAACGGTAAGGCGGCGCAGAGGCAGCGGGCCTGTTCCATGATCTGCAAATTCGCGGGGCCGCATTGGGCCGAGGCCCAGCGGACCAAGTGGGTGATCGACATGGTCATGGCGATAGACGGCGAGTACTTCCACACGGTCGACGAGCAGAAGAAGAGGGCGGCCGCCCTGGAGGAGGAGCTCCAGAGGGCGTACGGCGTGCTGGAGGAGTCCAAGAAGTCGTCAGAGGCCCAGGTAACACCCTATCAGTGCAAGCGACGCCCTATCAGTACCGATACTGGTGAAAGGGGGTGCAGCCAACCGCTGCGATTCACTGAGCCTTCCACGGGATTCTACTAAAAGAGTTTTAGGTTCGATCCCTGGAGGACCACCTGAAGGCGGCTGCGCATGAGATCACGGAAGCCAACCAGAGGCTGCTCGCCTCGGAGACGAACGTCAAGGGACTGAACGAGGCGCTGGAGGCGGCGGAGCGCGGGGCGGCGGCGGCGGCGAGGGAGTGCGAGGTGCTGCACCGAGCGGTGCTGTCCGTGTCGGAGACCGGGAGCCGCGTCAGGCGGAGCCTCGCGGCGAGGGCCAGCGAGATCAGGGACAGCTTCCTGCGGACGCGGTGCGACCTCAGACGCAGCAAGAAGAGCCTGAGGGCCAAGGAGCTGGACACGGGGCGCATTGCGGTGGAGTACAAGCGCAGGTCCGTGCCACCGCGTCACTTGCCTTTAGATGCACACCGGCGGCTTGACACCGCGCTTGCAGAGCATTCTTGAAGACGACGCCAGTTGCAGGCACAAGGCTGGATGCGTGATGGCGTCATAGCAAGGCTGCTGAGTCGTCCCTCCTCCAGCCGGATGCACTGGTTCCCGATTTAGTGTCATCCAGCATTGGGACTGACATGGCGTGTGCTATTTCTACTGCAGTCGGTCGATGTTTCCTGAATGGCGTTGCCAAACGCAATTAAACTCAGTCATTTCCAGCAAGAAAAGAGCATATAGTCGCAGTGTCCTCAAACTTGGCAAACAGTTTCAATCGAAGAGGACCTTAGCGCACGGTCAGTGTGTGTATCTGCCCAGGCATGGTATTCACGACGTAAGAACTGATCGCATTTACGTTTTTATCGCGAAGATAGTGCTACGCTTCGTACGTATACAAGCGCTAAAATGCGTACATTCAGACGTAGATGCACCCCCGTGTACATAAGTATTGTACATAAAAACTGTACATACAGACATAGGGAGTCCAGGGAATGGCAGCCAGACGCGCTGGAGTGGGCAGAACCAAATATTTTGACGACGTCGTTGCTCTTGCCGAGGGCGAGGTGGACGCTGTGATGCGGGTGCTCGAGGGGCCGGAGGTCTGACCATTGTACGCGAACCTATCGTGTAACCCGGGCGTCCCAGCGAGCCGTAAAATGACGTGAATACAGCCGTTTCAGTAGCATCTTTTTCCGGTTTTACTATTTTCTGCGCAAAAACGAAAAGCGCAACACGTAAAACATGTGCGCCAAAACCGAGCTTGCATCTGTCAGCTGCCAGGCTCATCAAACTGGGTACCGATTTTCCCATCGAATTATTGTGAACTTCACTGATTTCTGGAGTTTTCATTTCTTTTCTGTGGAAGTTTGTTTTTCTCTCATTTTGGGGACGTTCCGTGCAAGCGAGTGGATTGAAAGCAGCTGGAAATGGCTGGCAGGCTGGAAGAAACAGAAGGGGAATATCGGAATCTGAGCGACCAGAAAGAGCAACTTGAGAAAAAGGTGACAAGCCTCTCCAAGAAGCTCGTGTCTGCGCGAGACGCTGCAGAACGTTCAGCCAGAATGATGGGCAGGAGCTTTGGAAGGAGAAGGAGATAGGGCGGATGGGCTACGCCCCCAGCGGGAGAGGAAGACAAATGCTGTCGTGGCCATGCGTGACGCAGCAGTCGCAAGTTTGCGTTATTGAGAATTTGTAGCCCATGGCCCTGAGAATTGCGTTTTTGGCCGTGGGCGGCAGGGGAGAGCAGTTGACAGCGCTCGGATTGTGGGTGTTGGAGCATCCCAGCAGTTAGCACTGCAGGTATAGCGAAGCCCATCGTAGAAGGCGAAGGCGCGCCTGCAGCCGCCTGTCGATATTCGCCGCGCACTGATATACAATTGCTTTGTGTCCCAAAGCCAATCCCCAGAATACAATAAGATGCTCAAATGCCGTAGTGCAGTTCAATGCGCCGCATATGTCGTGGGACACACACAGGCAACAGGACGTCGGTGATTGACTTTTTTTGGTTTCGTGTGAGGTGGGGCGAAGGACTGGGGTGCTCATTGAAATGGCGCATGGGCATGGATTCATGGCTCTGCCCAGGCACAACACCGACCTTACCGAGAGGTGCAAAGACACCCAGATTAGAATAAATAGCTCTGGGACTCATTCCCTCAGAAATCAATCGATCGATCAATCAAACAATAAAGCAATCAGCTAAAGCCTCATTTGCACATGACAGCATTCAAGTAATCTCGATTCCTGCTGCCAAATAGTCGACTCGAAAATAAATCGACACCAAGAAGTCAGTCAGTCGTAGACGGAACAATTTGTTACCTTGAAAGGATCGCTAAGCCATAGAAAATTGCGGCATTTAGCACGACGACTGAATACGCCATTCTCCGCAACGACGTCGTATCATATTTTGCCTCCATCCAAGCTCGTCACCTTGCAATGAAGCTCCTTTCGGAGCGTCATATATGGCAATATCTTCCGGGCAATCAGTAACAGGAATGCTGCAATACCTTGATTTCCGCTGAACACATCATTCTCACAGCTTATCCCAGGCAAATAAAGTAAGGATATGACATCTATCTCCTTGGTTTGATCCCCGACGCTGATTGAAGTGATGGAATGATAGATGTGTGGACAGACTTTTGTCTTCCTGTTTCCTTTCGTTGATCTTTTGGTCACCTGATCTATTAACTGTTTGACTCATTGAGACAGATGAAATGACGGTTCTATTTTACAGGCAATTGTGTAACCGGCCATGTACTTTGATGTCGACAAAATCCGCGCAATCGTGATTTCCGGAATTCTGGGTTATCTGTGGAGTTATTACTGAACACATAGATAATTCTGAAAACTCGGTTCCTCGAATGCGCCGTTGGAAACAAGCGTAGAGGGCTGCAAGAATTAGGCACCTTTTATGTTTCACACGAGGTTTCACGCGCGTCAAATGCTGCACCCGTGCATTGCTAGACTGTATTCTAGTCCCGCAACTCTGCTAAAAGTGCTGTGCATGCCTAAATCCATGGCGCGCCCATCACTGCATTCAGTGCAACGAAAGACGAATAGGATGGCGAGCAGGTGGAGGTGGGCGCCGCCGGAGAAATGCGGCTGACCATAGTGTTGTTGCCGCTAACGAGGGTGGTGGCCTCAGGCGACTCGTGTGACACCTTTCCTACATTTACTACTTTTAAACACAGGATTTGAATGCTGATTCCAGGATGTGACAAAACGCGTTCCCTTCCCCCATCATTCAAAGTGCGCCATGTGCCGAAAGGTGCCATTGAAGCGAACTCACAGAGATTTCAGCGCATTTGTCAGACAATATGTAACAGTTGATTGTGTACCCTAACAAAAAAGTCTCCAATAAATGGAGACATTTTCGGCAATTATGTAAGATCAATTGAACCCAAAAGATCTCCCAATTGTGATATTGCAGCAATGTGAGAGTTTTTGCATATTTTGACTGCGCATATGCGTTTTCGTCAATCTCAATCCATTGTGATACATTTTTGGTGGGTTCTATTGGAGGACGAGAAGGCCCAATGGGTATTAATTATCTATTATCCCACCTATCGTTGCTTATCATTGATTGCACATTGCACTGGACATGGTTCTCAGATGTGAGCATAACCGCTGCACAGCTGCAGTATGTATGCTTAATTCATATTCGTAAATATCCGTGCATCAGCGCCTTCTTTCCAATTTGGACCTCGTTGCAGATGCGGTGCAGACCGCCTCTAGTTTGTATTACTCGCGTCAAAATAGTATACGCAGAGCTGATGCCGACTGCAATTGTTGTCGGCATGATCGCTGATTTAAGGCATCATTGTTGGCTGGCTTGAAATCAAGACTGTAATTGGCAGCGATCGATTGTATTAGAGATCGCTTGCTGATGTCGTGACAGCTGGTGGATTACACAGTTGCATTGGCCTCTTGTACCCTAACCTGTGCACATCAAGTACGCACATGAAGGG